ATAATGGATACATTTAGTGCTTATATGTTCCTGTTGTAAACCTACATGCAGTTGTGTTCAAAATAATAGCAGTCAGACATCACTAACCTGATCAATCACTGTTTTTGGTAGAAATGATATTTCTACATGGCAAATAATTTACTAGTAGGTGTAGTAGAGTAATAGAAATCCAACAGACCCAACAGTCATGACATGCATGCTGCTGATTCTGTGTAATTGAATCACTAATTGAAAGATGCATGTTCAAAATAATAGCAGTGTGGAGTTCTATTAGTGAGGTCATTCATTCTTTGAAAAACAGGTGGCAATTATTGCCCTTATTTAAGGAAGGAAGGCAGCAAATGTTGTACATGCTGGTTATAGTGCATTTTCTCTCTGAAATTCTGAGGAAATGGGTCGTTCCAGAGATTGTTCAGAAGAACAGCGTACCTTGATTAAAAAGTTAATTGGAGAGGGGAAAACATATAAAGAAGTGCAGAAAATGATAGGCTGCTCAGCTATGATCGCAAATGCTTTAAAATGGCAACCAAAACCTGAAAGACGCAGAAGAAAGCGAAAAACTACCATTCGAATGGATAGAAGAATAGCCAAAATGGCAAGGACTCAGCCAACAATCAGCTCCAGGAAGATCAAAGAAGGTCTAAAGTTACCTGTGAGTACTGTTACAATTAGAAGACACCTATGTGAAGCCAAGCTATCTGCAAGAAGCCCCCGCAAAGTCCCACTGTTGAAAAAAAGACGTGCTGAAGAGGTGACAATTTGCCAAAGAACACATTGACTGGCCTAAAGAGAAATGGCTCAACATTTTGTGGACTGATGAAAGCAAGATTGTTCTTTTTGGATCTAGTGGCCGGAGACAGTTTGTCAGACGACCCCCAAACACTGAATTCAAGCCACAGTACACTGTGAAGACAGTGAAGCATGGTTGGGCCTATTTATCACATACCAGGGATCATGGATCAGTTTGAATACATCAGAATACTTGAAGAGGTCATGCTGCCTTATGCTGAAGAGGAAATGCCCTTGAAATGGGTGTTCCAACCAGGGGCGGACTGACCATTTGGAAACTCAGGCACTGCCCGAGGGCCTGGAGTCAGTAGGGGGCCCCATGAGATGCCCCTGGTACCTTTTTCATAGGCTTTTGTGAGTTTGGGCAAGGACACAGGGGCTCCATGATCCCCTATTGCCCGGGGGCCCCATGAGTTGTCAGTCCGCACCTGGTTCCAACAAGACAAGGACCCCAAACACACCAGTAAACGTGCAACATCTTGGTTCCAGACCAACAAGATTGACATTATGGAGTGGCCAGCCCAATCCCTGGATCTTAATCCAATAGAAAACCTGTGGGGTGACATCAAAAATGCAGTTTCTGAGGCAAAACCAAGAAATAGAGAAGAACTGTGGAATGTAGTCCAATCATCCTGGGCTGGAATACCTGTTCACAGGTGCCAGAAGTTGGTTGACTCCATGCAACACAGATGTACAGCAGTTCTCAGAAACAGTGCTTATACAACTAAATATTAATTAAGTGATTCAAAGGAAAGCAAAATCTTCAAACATTTTTCAGTTTTATATAGTGAATGTTTGAGTTTGTAAATAAGAATACAAACACTGCTATTTTTTTGAACAGTCTAATATTCACTTTTCTTAAATTTTTTTAGAGGAACACAAATTTGATATATTTTTCTTCATGTTTTGATTTGGAATAGAATGCGTAGTGTTCCCAATGCATTTGTGTGTATGGAAATAAAAGCTATTAGAAGGATTTTGAGCTTTATTCACTTTTTTCAACACACTGCTATTATTTTGAACACAACTGTATGTTCACCACATTGAATACTGCAAGCACTATACAAACATTGGGTCATGTATCGCCAACCTAAAAGTCCAAGACGTTAAAAAGGCATATCATGTTTGTGTACATAAGGCATAACTTCAGGAAATCATCTAAATACTTGATACTGATAAAATACATATCATATGTGAGAGCTACTTTTGTTTGTTTATGTGCATCCTGCATGCATTCCCGAGTGTCGTGTTTAGAGCAACCCACACGTGAGAAACACATAAAAGAAATCCCTGATCCTTTTTATAAATTACACTGCACCAAAACACATGGTACTTAGTTGCCCTGGGTTTTGGCATGCTAAAAAGCTTGCGAGTTAGCAAGCAATGTGGTACACCATTAAAAATGAAGGGCATTGCCGTGTATTTACTAAAGGGCTTTTTATGTTTTTTGTGTACTTCAGAAATGCACACACTTTTGCATGCCTTCTGGCAATGCACAAGTGAGAGGATAGCCTAAGCTATTAGAAACTGTCTGAACCTACCTTTAGAGTCATTGTTGTGGTCTTTGAGAGGGTCTTTGAGAATGAATTACTTCACAAAACAAGCAGCTGGAGCTGTCAGTGATGGCTTGTTTTTAACAGTATGTTATGGCATAATGTACTAGCATGCACTGAAAACTAACAAATTATGGCAGACTTACCTGTCAAATGCAACCCTCCAGCATTGCACTGTCACCATTCTTGACACTTCCATCTTCACCCAGTCTTCCTTCTGGGTTTATGCTCTCTGGCCACTTGCATGTCCAGGCCACAATGACCTTACTCCTACACATGCACCATTACTGCATGGCACTCTGTGCATTCACAGCAGTCAGCGTGCCCTCAATGCAGAGCGAACTGCACAGTGACGTCATCGACTAGAGCCAATATGAATATCTATTAAAAATGATCAAAGTTTAGTAGATATTCATGGTACCTACAGGTAAGGTCTGTTGTAAGCTAAGGTACAAGTTTAAAATCAGAGCTCACTACTACTTTAAAGCTCTTTTAATGCCCAATAAAAGGACTTCAAGCCTGCTGGGAAATTTGCTGGCCAAGCCCTCCAAGGTGTTGAACTGTGTTTATACACAGTTTCAGCACCAGTGGGAGAGCTAACGTTATTTTTTTTTTTTTTTTTTTGCATACCTCTCCTCCCTCTTCCAGAGTTAACTAGCATGGCACACCAGGCATATGGGCTGGTATCCCATGGTTAGGAGTCAGCAAATGTGCAACCCATTCTGGCTATATTGCTATTAACCCTGATGCCCTTCAGCACTAAGGGATGCTCTGAGGGAGGTTCCTCAAAATGTGGGAAGACACCAAGCTTTTGCTACCCCAGGGTGTGCAGAAGTGGACAATTAGTTGGTCACCCCCCTATTTAACTGGAGCCATAATCCGTTTATCGTGCATGAGTTAAAAGATGGACAGATAAAAGCACCCAGACAGTTAATGAAAAGACTATAACGCTTATATAAACTTTAATGTTTACATTTTTTACCTTTCAGGTTCCACCAGCATCAGATGGTGTCCCCCATCTACTCCTTAGCTGCATTTTCTTCCGAGAAGGGCTATAGCTCTTTTCCCCCTAACTGCTGAAGTTCCCATCCAAAATATGGTCTGTGATATCTCAAAGAGTTCTCGGGACACCTCCTCAGAGTCCCCAACATAATTTAAAATTAGATGTTGAGAAAAGAGAGGAAAGTTGCTGTGCTCTTTCTCTGAAGAAAATGCTGCTGGGGACTCACAATAGGACATGCTCAGACATGGCTGAAACCTTGGCGGTAAATTTTAGTTATAACTAGCGGTGCTGAAGATCCTGGTACCCGATGGCATTTGGTACTGGTGCTTTGGGAGGGGGACCCCCAAGTTTTGGGCAACTCCCCCTTAAAACATCCTCCAATACTGAAGGCCATGCAGGTATCAAAATAGCAGGAGGGTTGCAAACCTAATCCTCCATGTTGTGAGTATAATAGCTTGCATGCCGGATGTGCCAAGCTGCATCACACTGGGAAGAGAATTTCTAGAAGCGCTAACCCTAAAAGCACAAGTTCAAAACTATGCATAGAAAATCATTGCATTTTCAGTCCCAAATGCAATAATTTGACAGCTCAACCAAGCAAATTTTATTGCTAGCGAATGTCAGGTAACTATGTAGGGAAGGTAACCAGTTACATTAAAGCCCTTCTACTGAAAAACAGGTTTTGCTGAATGTCAGAGAATGTAATTTTCATGTGGTGAATGTTGGACACGTGTTTTTATTTCTCCTTATATGTAGAGTCAATATTGCCAAAAGAATTTTTGGTGAATATTGTGCTAGTTCCCATGAAATAATTTATGAATGTACCCATGAGTTGATGATTGATTTTTCAGTTTACACATGATGTAGTGTTTAAAATATATAATGAAACTGAAGAAGACTTGTTTTTAATATCTGGTTTTAATAAATAGTAATTTTTAAATTGCATGTAATATATTTTTATAAGCACAGAATAATTTACTGCGCTGCCTGATGTATAAAAAATGTAAGTGTTAATATGCACTGATTTAGGCAATAAAAGGTATATTATAAAAATGTCTCTTTTTTATTTTATAGATAAATTCTTGTGACCATAATCTGAACATTTGCTGTGAGCTTATTGAGTTGAATTCAAAAATCCAGGGGCAGCTCTTTACAATTCTTAATGTAACAGCCCGGGAAGGTAAGATTCTTTTAGCTGTGGAATGCCATTGTATCTGCTTATTCAATAGAAAGATGTGAAGAGTCATTTAAAATATCATTGCTCTTTTCATACTTTTAGCACTTTTTATTGAGTTAGAGCATATTTTGCAATATACCGTATTTTTCGCTCCATAAGACACACCTGACCATAAGACGCACCTAGGTTTTAGAGGCGGAAAACAAGAAAAAAAATATTCTGAACCAATGGACTGCAGACATAGTACAGAAGATGACCAGAGACTGCGGACATAGTACAGGAGATGACCAGAGACTGCAGTCATAGTGCAGGAGATGACCAGAGACTACAGAGACAGTACAGGAGATGACCAGAGACTGCAGACATAGTGCAGGAGATGACCAGAGACTACAGACACAGTGCAGGAGATGACCAGAGACTGCAGACACAGTACAGGAGATGACCAGAGACTGCGGACACAGTACAGGAGATGACCAGAGACTGCGGACATACTACAGGAGATGACCAGAGACTGCGGACATATTACAGGGGATGACCAGAGATTGCGGACAGTATAGGGGATGAGCAAGAGACTGCGGACAGTATAGGGGATAACCAAGAGACTGCGGACAGTATAGGGGATGACCAAGAGACTGTGGACAGTATAGGGGATGACCAAGAGACTGCGGACAGTACAGGGGATGACCAAGAGACTGCAGACAGTGCAGGGGATGATCAAGAGACTGCAGACAGTGCAGGGGATTACCAGAGACTGCAGACATGGTGCAGGAAATGACCAGAGACTGTGGACAGTGCAGGGGATGACCGGAGACTGCAGACAGTACAGGGGATGACCAGAGACTGCAGACAGTACAGGAGATGACCAGAGACTGCAGACAGTACGGGAGATGACCAGAGACTGCAGACAGTACAGGGGATGACTAAGAGACTGCTGACCTTTGGGGAGGAAGGGGGAGCGGGTACCTGAATTTGACAGGTGCCCACTCCCACTTCAGCGGAGTTGTCCTCCCTTTAGTGACTTTGTGATTTGTGATTGGTCCGGCATCTTCTGGGACCTGTCATGTGTCCCAGAAGACGCCGTACCATTCACAAAGCGCAGCGCTTCTCGTGCATGCGCACTGGGCACCCGGCTGTCACAGCCGAGAGCCCACACTAAAGATGCCGGCGCAGGAAGACTGTACAGCGCTGGACTGAGGAACAGGTAAGGTTCTGCTGCAGAGAAGAGCTGAGTGGCCGGCCTGGTATTCTGACACAGCGGCGGTGGAAATACCTGACCGGCCTGTCCATATTCGCTCCATAAGACGCACTGACATTTTCCCTCCTTTTTTGGCGGGAAAAAGTGCGTCTTATGGAGCGAAAAATACGGTACTTACATTAATAAATGAATAAGTAGCTTTTGAGCATTAATTAATAAATTAGCATTGTATAGTAAAATACATTTAAAAAGAGCGTCAGACATAACAAGTGATAGAAGAAGGCTCAGGTGTATTAGCTACAGTATATGTGAAGGTATGTCATCTCTTCATTTCTAGGAGGTCAGTATGCTGGTGTGGAAACACTGAAGAGTCGCTTCTTGCCATGGCTGGGTACTTGCTTCTCAGGCCCTTCTCCAGGGCTTTGTGCTGACAGTAGCTTCTCTCTTCTTCAGGTAGAAATAATAGTGTATTAGGTTTTGTATAGACAAGTGTGGAAGGACAGTTACCATGTACCTGGGTTAACTATAGGGTGGCCTGTGGTTTCTTTGGTTGACTGTATTATATAGTTGGAACCTGCTTAGATGGCATTTGGCCCATCTCTGAGTTCTCATCCCTGTATAGGTTTCAAATTACAACATGGAGTTTACCTATATTCACTTCTGCAGGGTATCAAAGGGAATGTATTTGTCCACTTCCTATGGACAGGAAGTTAAGGAATCTCTCCAACATAGCCCTTGATGGCAGACATGAGTTCTAAACTTTCCCATCTTTATCCAAAACTAAACAAAGTTTGGGGTATAGATACTCTTTAATTATGTGTCCATTTGCTTGTCTTGCTATTGAACGCAGTTTAAAGTGGCAGTTGAATTATAGTGACAATTTGATCCACAATCACTGTGGATAATGGATACTTAAAGTGCTTTTGTACCCTGTTGAACAAAGTACAACTCTGTCCCATGTTGCTAAGTGCTTTCTAACTACCCTGGTTATGAGGTCCAGGCTGCCATCCGTCTGTTCCTGCTAGGCCAATATGACAACAGCATAGCAGCTTATCTCAGCACTTTCCCGAGACAAGCAATGGCAAGAGTAATGCAGAGTCTGACACGTCCCCTGTCCCTCTGCATTCCACTTGCCATTGCTTGTTTTAGTAATGTTCTCACAGCTGAGATAAGCTGCAGCTATAAATCAGTCATCGCATTCATAGCTGTTGTCGGATAGGTCATGGTAGGAGGAGAGGAGGGCAGGTCAGATCTCATTGCACTCAGCAACATGGGACAAAGTACTGCATGTACTTTATCTCATGGGGGACAGAACTGTAAAATAAAAAGTATAGTAATAGTTCTTCTTTAACTTTTCATCTCCCCAGCAGCACATACCTTCCCTTCATTCCCCTGTGAGAATGAAGATACAGGTGCATCTCAATAAATTAGAATATCATCAAAAAGTTAATTTATTTCAGTAATTAAATTTTAAAAAATAAAACTCATATATTATATAGATTCATTACACAGAGTGGTATAATTAAAGCATTTCTTTCTTTTAATTTTGATGATTATGGCTTATAGCTAGTGGAAACCCAAATTCAGTATCTCAGATCTCATAAAATTAGAATTTTACTTAAGACCAAATAAAAAAAAAAGGATTTTTAATACAGAAATGTTAGCTTACTGAAAAATATGTCCATGTACAGTATAGTATGCACTCAATACTTGGTTGGGGCTCTTTTTGCATGAATTACATGCATGGCATCAATATGGTGTGGCATGGAGGCAATCAGCCTGTGGCACTGCTGAGGTGTTATGGCAGCCCAGGTTGCTTTGATAGCAGCCTTCAGCTCATCTGCATTGTTGAGCCTGGTGTCTCTTATCTTCCTCTTGACAATACCCCACAGATTCTGTATGGGGTTTAGGTCAGGCAAGTTTGCTGGCCAATCAAGCAGAGTGATACTATGATCATTAAACCAGGTATTGGTACTTTTGGCAGTGTGGGCAGATGCCAAGTCCTGCTGGAAAATGAAATCAGCATCTCCATAAAGTTGGTCAGCAGAGGGAAGCAGGAAGTGCTCTAGAATTTCCTGGTAGATGGCTGCGCTGACTTTGGACTTGATAAAACACAGTGGACCAGCACCAGCAGATAACATGGCTTCCCAAATCATCACTGACTGTGGAAACGTCACACTGAACCTCATGCAACTTAGATTCTGTGCTTCTCTGTTCTTCATACTTCATACTAGGTTCCAGACTCTGGTACCTTGATTTCCACTTCTAATGCAAAATGTACTTTCATCTGAAGTACTGACAGCATCCATAGTCCACTCCTTGTGAATCTCCCCCAAATTCTTGAATGGAATTTGCTTCATAACTCTCTCAAGGCTGCAGTTATCCCTGTTGCTTGTGCACCTTTTTCTACCATACGTTTTCTTTCCACTCACCTTTATATTAATAAGCTTGGATAAAGCACTCTATGAACAGCCAGCTTCTTTAGCAATGACCTTTTGTGACTACCTTCCTTGTGGAGGGTGTTAATGACTGTCTTTTGGACAACTGTCAAGTCAGCAGTCTTCCCCATGATTGTGTAACCTACTAAACCAGACAGAGAGACAATTTTAAGGCTCAGGAAACCTTTACAGGTGTTTTGAGTTAATTAGCTAATTAGAGTGTAACACCGTGAGTCTACAATATTGAACTTTTTCACAATGTTCTAATTTTTTGAGATACTGAATTTTGCGTTTTCACTAGCTGCAAGCCATCATCATAAAAATAAGAAAAGACATGCTTGAAATAATCGCCCTGTGTGTTATGAAACAATATAATATATGAGTTTCACTTTTTGAATTGAATTGCTGAAATAAATTCACTTTTTAATGATATTCTAATTTATTGAGATGTACCTGTATGTAAATTCCATGCTGTGAATTGGAACCTATTCAGGCATGAGAACTCATGAGTTAGAGTAGAGCCAAACACCATCAAAGCAGTTCCTGGCTTTTCAATACAGACAGTCAGTTATCACAAAAAAAAAAGAATGTAGCATAAACATAAATCAATTACACCCATATACAGTATATCTGTGCTACAGTGCAGTGACACATTGAAAACATGTCTGCATGAATTTTGCCGCATCAGTGTGGATTTGGGATAACACAGAAATGAATAGTAAGACAGTTAATCATGCCGTAGGGTGTATGTTAATGCAGACACTAAAATTAAGTTTATATTGCATTTTTATGTAGTATACCATATGACCAGCAAAGATTATTATTTTTATATTATTTTCAGACAAGAGCATGTACAGGGAAGTGCTGCAAAACACATGTTGAGCATGTTGAGATACATTAGAAAGACATGTTAGCACAAAACTCATTAAACAAATATTATATAGTTCTCAAACTATTTAAAGGTGAATCTAGCCTAAATTTACTTTAAAAGTAGCCATGCATGACTAAATTGCTTTTGTTCAGCCTTTGCTATGGATGGAGGAATCTCCTCTGCTGGCTATTGTATTCAGACAGCTGAAACAGTGCTTTGCAGGGCCACCCACAGTTTATATTTTGTCTGCTTCTGTAGGAATTGGCTGAAATGTGAGCCGTGTAGGGCCAGCTTTAGTTGCATTTAAAAATAAGACACAACAAAAAAAGTATGAAATGTAGAAAAGAGTCTATTAAAAAGCAGTAAAGCCCAGCTGCAAATTCAACCCATGCATGTGCACAAATGACTGAATATGCTTACCTGTCAGGAATCACTAGAAAGAGACAAACGACTAAGGGAGCTGTCATCCTCTCAGGAAAAGGAGCTGCACAGGTTGGAGACCCAGCTGGCCACTACACGATCAGAACTGAACTCCGTGAGACAAGAGTGAGTGAAATATTGATGCATGCCTTGACTTGGCCTTCCAACCTCACCTTTACTCTCAAAGCCAGATATTGCAAATTATTTCTTTGATACAGTGATAATAATGGGAGATTTTAACTACTCGGAAATTGACTGGAGTAATGGTACTGCAGGAACAGTTTAAATGGCAAAAGTTTTTAAACCTTCTACAGGACAAATTTATGGTACAGTTCATAGAGGCCCCAACTAGGAATAATGCTCTGCTGGACCTGGTAATCTCAAACCATGCAGAGCTTGCTACGAATGTCCATATTAAAGAACATCTGGGTAGCAGTGACCATAACATGATTTCATTTATTGTTAGCTTTAAACAGCAAGCACATACGGGAAAAATAAAACCGCTCAATTTTAAGAGAGCTAATTTTCCAAGGCTGAGAGCTGCTCTCCAACACTTAGACTGGGAGGGAATATTGGCATCGATGAACTCAACACAGAAATGGGAGTTCTTCAAAAAGACTGTTTGTGAACACACTGCAAAATATATTCCCATGGGCAACAAGTTGAAAAGGCTAAAAATCAAAAAAGCAAGCAAAATCCTCTCTTGTATTAAAAGAGGTGTAGACTCCAGAGAGAGAGATATCATATTATCCTGCTACAAATCATTAGTAAAACCTCATCTGGAATATGCAGTTCAGTTTTGAACTTTTGGAGAAACTGGGGAACTAGAGAAAGTACAGAGAAGGGCAACCAAACTAATAAGAGACATGGAGGAGCTCAGCTATGAAGAAAGATTAGAGGAACTGAAGTTATTCACCCTGAGGTCATCACAGAGGACAAGGGGGCACTCTTTATGTCTGGAGGAAAAAAAATGTAATCTCCAAACACGGAAAGGTTTCTTCACAGTGAGAGCTGTGAACATGTGGAATAGACTCCCTTAAGAGTTAGTTCTAGCCAGCTCAGTGGATTGCTTTAAAAAAGGCCTGGATTCTTTCTTGGATACACAGAATATGACTGGTTACTATTTATAGGTAAAGTTGAATGGACAGGCGGTCCATTTCCATCCAACCACCCCATAGAAAACAGTGTCTGTATCTGCTCTGCAGCAGTGGAGCGGACAAAGACCTGTGATCCGCCTGCTCAGTGGGGATCAGCAGAGAGATCCCCCTCTGAGTAGGCGGATATGCTGACGGGTCCGGTCTGTCTGAAAGGGGCCTTAAAAACATTCGACCAGAAGAGCTGAAGATCATTTCACCAATAGAGAAAATAGCTTAACACTATATGCAAGGAAAAACTGACCAGAAGTGGAAATAATATGAGAGAGACCTCTCTGCACTATAAACTAAAGGGTGTATTAAAAAAAAAAAGACAGAACTGTTCTTTCTGTGAAAGCGCATGCACATTTATTTTGTGTGAATGGGAGTAAAAATTAATGTTACTGGGCTGTCTTCTCTACAGTTAGAATGTTTTGTGTTTACAATAATAGCAGAAATCAGGAAAATACCTCTTTATGAATACTAGATGAAATCGGTTATAGTAAATTAGTATTTTAGTGTGATGAATAAATTACTGCACATAGGTAACTGCTATAAATAATTGATACAGTGTTGCAGAGAATAAACTCAGTTGTTTGACATGTTTACCAGAAAACCCTTCATAGATTACCTAAGGTAAACAAATAAATTTGTCTGCAACATTGTATCAATTCTGTATAGCAGTCTATTCTCTGCAGTAGCTGATTCATTACACTGCCAGTGGTGAGCACCAAAATCTCCATACATTTAGCAGAAGGTCTTCCTCATATTATTTCCTCTTCTGGTCTAATGTTCTTAACCTATAATGTTGGATTATTTTCTCTGTTGGTTGAATGTTCTTCACTTCTTCTGGATTAATGTTTTTAAGGCTATTTTCTCTTAGGAATGATTGTTAGTGAATGTTACATTTGCTATGCAAAAGACAACAGAGACTGGGATTTTACACATATTACAGATACAGTATTACAGGCATTATTTATGACTTTGGAACAAATGCTTAAATACTTTTATAAACAGACCCCTAAATGTTAGAGTACATTTTTCTACTTATCCTTTTATTTATTCTTACATCTACATCTAATTATGCAAACGGTTCTGGACATTAATACTGAAATCTTCTAGATAGGCAACTCCTATACAACTCAGCCTGGCACTGGTGTGGATCCAGGTGACTTTTCCTTCAGGTTTTGTAAACTGTTACTGTTACATACAACAGAATCTGTAAACTGTACCTGTGCCTATACCCTCTTGCCTCTAGATCTATTACAGCAGATGTGTTCACCATATAACCTGTTACCAGCACTATTGTTCCTTCTCTTATCTATAACATTCCATTAGACAGTAGACAGTGACAACATAACATATAACCACCAATCAATACAGTTCGATTAAGGGGAGCAAAGTAGGTACCCTTTGTCCTGAAAATGCCTTACTGATCAAGGATTCTGATATCTCAAAATGTAAGCAAAGGGCTTACCCCAGTTGGCTTAATGTCGCATGAGCTGTAGATCAGAAAATTATTCTATGGGTTCCCAAGACTTGAGCATTTTTTCAAAGGTTTCTGAGGAGTTTCAAGGTTGAAAAAGGTTGACTTAAAGTGTAGCGCCACCCAAAAGGGTTAGTTCTGCTTTAATGACTCCCCCCACGCTCTCCGTAGACACCTATGGGGAACAAGGGGGGAAACAGGTACCCGATTTTGACAGGTATCTGCTCCCACTACCTAGGAGATTGGAAGCGGAAGTTGTCCCCTCCTGACCACTGGATCGAAGGACGGGTGAGTACAGTTTTTCTATCTGCTAACTTTTATTTTTTTTCACTGGAGACTGGAAGTCCACTTTACAATAGAACTAAATATAAAACCTTTTTTTTTAATTTGGGTAAGGTAAAGGAGGGTTATAAATGTTGCTGTTTTTTAAATTCTTTATTTAGAAGGTTCACATCCAAAAATGACAGCTTGACCATAAATAATATGTAAAAACATCTGAAACAACATAACCTGTTTTTTTTTGCCGTATGTGTCCCATTACTAAGATTCCACTTCCCATCTCATAGCCAAAATGGGAAGTGAGAGGTAATCCCTGCAAAGTGAGGGAATCCCTGGTTGTCACCAGAACTAGTGTCTCAATTGGAAGATTTCTCCTCTATTACTGTTCTGATTACAACTCAAAATTTAGGATTTTCTTTCACTTTCACTTTCTGTGATAAACAATAAACAGGACAAATAAAGAGGGTGAATCTCCCTAATGAGGCCATAGACAGCTATATAATCTGAGAGGTGTTCTAATTTCTCACCACTCTACCCAGAAACAATTGAGTACTATCCGTGATACTTTTTTTATTTGCACTAACATACAATTTTGAGGACAAGCTTTTGGGGAGTGTCCCCTTCTTCAAGGTCCAAGCAGTCCCCTTGAAGAAGAGGACACTCCCCGAAAGCTTTGTCCTCAAAATTGTATGTTAGTGCAAATAAAAAAAGTATCACGGACAGTACTCAATTGTTTCTGTCGCAAATGCACTAATACGGCTACAATCACCTCAACCACTCTACCCAAAATTCAAAGAAAACCTTTCCCTTTAGTTATACCTTAACCACATTATATATTGACAACATAGCAACATTTGCCTTTGGGTTAGTATATGTAACTATGAAACCATTGTTTTCTGGGATCGATTTATTGTGAAATTATGAGCTAGGCCAGAGCAATAAACAAACGCTTCTGATTTTTCTTATTTTATTTTCAGCCTGCTTGAAACCCAAATGGAACTTGAGGAGACAAAAACAAAGTCGGCAACTACTCTCTTAGCCACAGAGGAGGAGATACTGCAGCTGAAAGCAGAGTATGAACAACTGTAATGAAATAGTCATCTGAATACATACAGATATTTCACATAACTGCATTAACTCTTGATTGTTTAATACTTACAGTTTGAGGACAGCCCAAGACAAACTGGATCTGAGGAAAAATAGATTCAATTGAGGACTATGAACGCCAAATCCGCCTGCTAAAGGACGAAATCTCCATTTTATCAGCAGAAAAAAGTGTGCTCCATGGAAGGTACTGTTTCAAAAGTAATCTGTGAAGTGAGATTATCATTTTACATGTTGTGTTTTTCCTGTTGGTTAAACATTTTCTGCTTATTCATGGAGATGGCAGGATTAATATTTCTTTCTGACACAAGAATTAATGATCCTGTAGGTTGTACATTAATGCTTTTGTGATCGAAGGAATCAAGGGCAACATCATAAGGTTCCATGCACACTAGTGTTTTTTAAATTCATAAAAGCTGTTATTAGCAATTTTTTCTGCTCCTAGAAGCTAAATTGTGTTATCCTATGTGTCCATACACACTACTTTAGGTTATTAGCATTTTTGAGCTTCAGCATCTAGGAGCAAAAAAAATTGTTTTCGTAGAGTTTTTTGGAGTGTTTTTCCAGCAGAAAAAAAGTGCTAAATGCTTCTAAACACTACTAAAATGCTCCTAACAGCTTTTTTCTAGCTTGTTTTTTTTTACATGTACTGTAAAAACACTACTAAAATGCTGACGCTCCTAGACACTTCTAAACCCTACTAAAAAGCGGCTAAAATGCTATTGAAATACACTATTACCAGCATTTTCTGAACTTAAAAAAACGCTAGTGTGCATGGAGCCAAAAAAAAATACATTTTAGACAAAGGTAATTGTAGCAACAGTTTGGGATAAAATGAAATACAATAACAACCTGCGCTGAGAGCTAAAAGTTATATAAATAGTACAAAAGCTGCTAGAAAGATCGTTGGCAACAAACAATAAAAAATATGAGTAATAAATGCAGTGCTAATTCACAGAAAAATATCAATAGTTTTACAATATACAGTGCTCAGCATACATGAGTACACCCCTTTTGAAAGGTAAGATTTTTATCACAAATCAGGACGTCAGGATGATGTCTTTTTATGATGAAGCACGTTGGGTGGAGCTAAGGCGCATGACGTCATCGCATTACGGATCACGGCCATCTTGCTGGTTGGAAACTTTTTGTGTTCCCAAAGCTGAACTTCATTTTACTGATTGTAAATGCTATACTTTCATTAAAAGTTTTGAATTCAAAGTACTAAGCAATGGTGCAGTCTTATCTTTCTGTCCACATGTGTAACTGAGAGTATCCGATTACCTATTTTTTGGCCCTTTACTATGTATCTATATTGAGGAGTATACTGCAGTGGAAAGTGACCGGGGAAGTGATACTTTTGAGATTTCCAGCCATCCCTACGTACCATACGTGCTTTTGACCGCTTGATATGGTGGCCAGGTTGCTCTGGTAAGAGGCTGTGTGTGTGGAAGGTGGAAGAATTTTCCTATTAAAGCACTTTTATATACTTTGGCACCTGGTCTTTGTATATTCCAGCTGCATTATCTGGACTGTTTGCATGAAAAACTAATGCTATTCCACTAATTTTTGGTATGAAAAATATTATTATTTAATTTATGAACATATATTTTAAGATTACTGAGTTTTTTTTCTGTGAATTAGCGCAACAGTGTGGGATAGATAGACCTAATTTCTGTGCCAGCAAGACTGTGTCCTTGTGCACAAAGCTGAGGTTTGATAAATGTCAAGAAAAAAATGTCCATGGTGCTTGCTGCTCGGAGGTTTATTGCAATAATGCATGAAATAACAGATGTCTTGACGCATTGCATACTAGACATGCTTAATCATAAGGTCCTCATGAGTCAGTACATTTAGTTATGATGATCAGATGTTGGAAAATTGATTTTCTAGCAGGATGGAATTATGAATGAGTGTCGGGAAAATTGTTTTATCTACCAGTAGAATCCTTTTGCATCCCTGAATGTTACAGTTTTACCATAATCTAAAAATGTATTAGATTGTATCATCAGTGGATTAGAGAAAAAATAGTTCTACCTCTGGCCAGGCACAGTTACCAGCTTTGTGCTGTTATTACATTCTTTGCAAAATTTAGTCACATTAATTCATCCTCAACTTCACATCTTTTTCATCTCATCTTATGTCTCCTGTCAGAGCATTTATTAGGCTACTTGAAAAAGCACAAAAATATAATTTATTAAATGGCTGGATAGGACTTGAATGTTTCCATATGAGAGGCTCCCATCTATATTTTTTTAACCAAAGTCTTCTGGCTATTAGTTTTGCCTGTTCTATGGTGGGACAGAATGTCAATGCCCATCTATTCATCCAATTCTATTAGGCCTCATTTACACTTGCTTCAAAATGTGGCATTTGACCCAGATTTTTGAAGCAATCTGAATGCCAAACAAAGCAGCTATCACTAAATAAAATGGTTACCTTACAGTCCTGTACACACTGTTGAGTTTGCCCTGCTTTACTTTGCTCCAGAAATTATACCGCATTTCGCCTTATTGGTGCTTCACCGCATCTAGAAAGCTTCCATAGATGTCTCTCACAGCACTCCCAAATTGTGCCTGCAGTGGTAGATGCTTCAGAGGTAATGCTTCAGAGTTAGCTTTGCTTGTTATTTCAGATATTGGAAAAAAAAATAAAACCAACATACACAGGGCATTGGCCGAACTTCATTAAAGCTTCAACAAAGCATTAAAAACACATCAAAAATGCATGTTAAAGCAGAGTTCCGGCACAAAAAAAAATTAAGTCAAGAGCTATAAATACTATAGCTGCTAACTTTTAATATAAGAATATTTACATGTCCAGATGTCTGGCAATGTCTGCACTCGAGACGATTTCCTTAATTGGCTTCGGGTGCTAGCGCCATCATCTTAACCACTATGCATATGCAAGCTGTGTGGGGAAGTGAGAAGGGGCCGGAGATTGCTGCTGTCAAAACCAGTGCGGCAGTGGAGGGAGGGAGGATGGCAACAAGTGGAACTTGCCTGTTGGGTGGCGTTCTGCAAAAAAGTGATGGGCATGGCTGCAGGAAAGAAAATTGCATCATCTATGGAACGGGTGTCAAACTACAAGTCCCATGAGGCATTGCAAGATTGACAGTTACAAGCACGACTCCCAAAGGCAGAGGCATGATGGAACTTGTAATTTCGCAACAGCTGGAGGGCAGCCAGTTTGACACCCCTGATCTATAACCTGCCTTACGGAAAGGCACTGGATTCTCTTCTTAACACATTTTTGCTTACCTTTCCTTTTTTGCACATTTTATGTATGTACATTCTTATAATATGTAAATTGGTCTGAATAGATTTCATACAGTGATCATTTCAACATACACAACATTTTTGTTTCCGTTATTCATGGTTTAGGCTTTCTAGGAGTCGCTCTCCAAGCCCAATACGTCACTCTAGCAGATCATCCAGCCCATTTACCAGGAGCGAGTCTCCGACAGCAGCCCAGCTTACCAACTCTTCTCGTCACAGCCGACTAATATCCAGATTCAATGACATCTATGCCAATGATCGTCTAGATGCACAGACTCTGTTGAGACGTTACATAGATGACCTCGAGATGGTGCAGAGAATAATTTTTATTGCCACTGTGGTATGAAATAATTTCTTTTTGACTAATTTCTCAATACTATTTTATTAATCCGCTACATGTTCTCTATAAACCAGTGCTGCATTTTGCTGTGTACATCCATCGGCCACTTTATTAGGTACACCTGTTCAATTGCTTGGTAACACAAATTGCTAATCAGGCAATCACATGGCAACAACTAAGTGCATTTAGGCATTTAGATGTGGTGAAGACGACTTGCTGAAGTTCAAACTGAGCATCAGAATGAGGAAGAAAAGGGATTTAAGTGACTTTGAACGTGGCATGGGAGTTGGTGCCAAACTGAGTCTGAGTATTTCAAAAACTGCTGATCTACTGGGATTTTCACGCGCAGCCATCTCTAGGGTTTAAAAAGGGTCCAAAAAAAGAGAAAATATCCAGTTGTTTGGACAAAATGCCTTGTTGATGTCAGAGGTCAGTGGAGAATGGACAGACTGGAATTAGGGCAGTTCTGAAGGCAAAAGGGGGTCCAACCTGGTACTAGCAAGGTGTACCTAATAAAGTGACCCGTGAGTGTATGTCTATTTGGAGGCCAAAATTATGAGTTTTAAAGAAGAGCCTGATCAATGTGCACCACTGTGAGTTAGATTTTCCTGATATTTTTAGCCTTCAACAAGACATTTTAAGTGGGTTCTTTTTGTTATCATAACATGGCAGTTTAGAGCATGTTTAATAGCTCCTAGTAGTTTCTTGCCCTAGAGTCTAGCATAAAGGATAGCCAATGGTGCCTTCTTGTGTACAGAAATCAAACAGTAGTCATAACTATTTATTAAAATTGCCATTGTGAATGATGTGATATGATTAAAAAAAAGATGATATGCACTTTATCTCTTTATCACTTTATGTTTTGTGCAGGAATCATTCCATGCAGCTAAGATGTCATATAGACAATTTAAACTCCGTGTAAGGAAGTCCCTGTCTCCATCTCACATGGGACCCGGATCCTTGGAAGATGCTGTGACTGACTATATTGTCCGCAACCTGGATCTTTATGATGTCCAGGCCAGTGTTAATGTAAGATTTAACCCTGTATTTCTAAAAAAGTAATAATGTACAGAGCAAGGGTTTCTTATCCTGGGTCCCATGGAACCCTAGGGTTCCTCCAGAGGTTGCTAAGGGTTCCTTGCGCATTAAGCAATTTTTGCCTCTCGGATAAGTCCCCGATGACACCATTGATCTTTATAGCTATTTGTAAGGGGGTAATTCTTCCCAATGACCACAAATGTAAGTAGCATAATTTCCACTGATCACCAATGTAAGGCGCATTCTTCCCACTGACCGTCACACTAATGTATCATGAGTTGTAGATATAGTAACTTTTAGAAGGGATTCCCCAAGACCAAAAAGTTTTTTCAAGGGTTCCTCTGTATTGAATAGGTTGAGAAAGGCTGGTACGAGCATCATTTCTAATTACAAGGTGTTGGTGTGCAGCTTATCCCTGAGAACATTAGTGCCTCTTTACACCAGGATATTGCAATATTACCAGTACTTTGTGATAACACACAGGTGCATAAATAAACAGTATTAGCACATTAACGTGCATTACATTAGGGCAACCTAATCCTTTTAAATAGACTGCCAATGCACCATAGGACATGTAAAACTGGACATGCAGCGTTTTTTTTTTTCCAAAAATATTTTTATTGAAAAAGTTAAGGTAGATCAGTATGAATACAAATATGGGTTACAGTCTGAACACAGACACATCATGTAGCATCCCGTTTCGCAGACGGGCTATGGGTTTGAATTGTATTATAAATTATAGTGAGATATAACTTTATATCTAAAAGAGTATAGCAAGCCAGCAGATACAAAGGGTGCAATAGGTAAATCATTATAGGTATATTAAGTACCGCCTATCTACCTGTAATCTCTTATGTTGGAAGGATGTGAAGTGCTGGGAAAGGATAGCACATGTTGATATGTGTGTTATAATTTGTGTGCCCATTTCGGGAGAGTGTGATCTACATGAGTCATACAGCGTTTTTTAAGGCAGTGCACGGCAATGCATGGAGACTTCACATTTATATAGGCCCTCTATTCTGCAATGTAGCACTTAGTGATGACTGTGCCTTATTGTTCTATTTTCCCACAGCATTTCTCCTATAGGCTTTCTATAAAGCTAACTGAGCTTATCTCAACAGTTGTTAGCCGAGGTTGCTAATCGCTTTCTCAGATGTAAAGATGAATGCTAAAAAGATAATTTACAATTCTGTTAATTAGTAAAAAATGTATATACAGAGCAGAAAGAATGAAAAAAGGGGAATATTGTAAGTTGTATACTGCTGCTCATCTACAAAAGGTAAAAGTGCATATGCATTGTCCTTAATGAGCTGTGTTTAAAGTCCTGATCACAGCTGTCCTATATGACTTGGACACAGTTGTTTTTCAGAATAGTATACTTGTTACTGTAAAAACATTGACCATGAATATGATCTTTAATACTGATATGTCAATGATAATGATTGTGTTTTTTAGGATGTGATCAGTACAATGAATATCAATCCTAAAATCTCCTTCCCACCAGAAGTGGACTTTATTTTAATCAGCAGCTTCATCCGAGAGGTGTGCCGTGTGGCATTTGCCATGCAGACTCTTGAAGCCCCATTGGACATTGCTTTTGCAGTTGATGGAGAACTCTTTAGTGAAACCAAGTAAGAGACACCCTGTTACATGCTGTCACCATATCTCGCTGTTCATTTTTCTAATAAATATGTGTTTCTACAGGAATGCAAAACCTAATCAAGGTCTCATCATTTCTCCACTAACTTCAAGTTCATTTTAGCAGGATATACTTCAAGGAGCTAATATGTTTTAAACTTGAAGTTATCCTGTAAATTAGTGTGTGTTGAGGACTAACTTCACTATTGACATTTTTTATTACCACAATATTCTGTAGTATAGAACGTAAAGAAAGCCCATAAGCCACACTCCAGCAACACCCCACAGTCATAGAGTAAAAGCAGCCTCAGCCCAGCTGAGATGAGATGGGCTAAGGCTGCTTTTACTCTATGACTGTGTGGTCTTGCTGGTATGTCGTATCCAGGGATTTCTTTCCTTCCTATACTGTATTCATTAAGCTGGGACATGCTTTTCCCAGGGCAGCACCCACAGTTACCAGATTTGGACAGAGGAACCTGGAGTAGTACCCTTAGCTCAGGGGTGTCCAAACTTTTTTCAAAGAGGGCCAGATTGGATGAAGTGAACATGGTGGAGGGCCGAACATTTTTCCGAACATTCTTTGAACCATTACAATTAAATGCAAATAAATTATTTTATGCCAAGTTAATTAGTTAATTGCAAACGACATACTTTTCATTTCATAACATTAAGATCAACTGACAGCTGAGTTTTCACAATGTATTGAAAATAAATTTAAAAAAAACTTACCTGCACTAATGTGAAGGGTGAAAAAGGTAGCTGGAGCTGAAGTCTCTGCTCGGCAGCCGGGAGGGGAAGAGAAACACACTTCACGCTGGAAGCCCGGCCCTGACGTCACCGCCCTCTGTTGCTCCCAGCGTGGCGCAGTCACGCATGCGCACTGCTCTCAAGCAGAAGACTGTCTACCACAGAAGGGAGGGCCGTGCGACAGCCACATTTACACAGACCAGGGAGAACGCGCCGCAGTCAGGCATGCGCACTGCCCTCTGCTCTCAAGCAGAAGACTGTCTGCCATAGAAGGGAGGGCCATGGGAGGGCCACATTACACAGAGCAGGGAGGGCTGTTGGAGGGCCGTATTAAACCGACCCCCGGGCCGTAAATGGCCCGCGGGCCAGACTTTGGACATGCCTGCCTTAGCTCATTTGGTGTGGGTTCACAATATTATGTAGGTTTTGGTCATGAAGGATAATATAACAACAGCCTATGCAGCTAGAAAGGCCCAAAGCAAGAGTGGGATCTGTTGTATCTCTCCACTACTTTGGGTACTTTCAGTTTGCACAAATATATGGTATAACACACCACTGGAAACTAAGGGTCTGTGGTACAGTATTATTGAGTACATAGAACCCCTAAGAATATTTGTGGGCTTTAAAATTCATACAGTTCAAACAGGAGCAGGGCAGGCACAGCCAAGATATGCTTTCCCAAAAATATATGTATGTATCATTCCCTCCTAAAGAAGTGATTGTGTTTGTTTCATTGTTGATCTGTGTGGTGGAACTATTATTGCACCCTTTTTTGCTGTGCTAATAAAAGAGGACTATTAAGGTAGATCCTCCATCTATTAAAGGCTAGAGGCCAGGAGGATTTTGCTACGAGTCCACATCTATCCAAACACACATTTCCATTGCTGTAGCATTAAAACCCATTAAAGTCTTGAAGACTTTTGAGTGCAGAGCTACAATGAGTACAAATGAACATAAAGTAATAGATGCATGCTGATTTTAACAAAATTCTTCTGAAGTTCTTGAAAAACTATGCTCATCAAAAGGCAAATCTTTCAAGTTACTGAACAATTGCTCTTATAACGTTAGGCATTTGTGATGGTATTGTGCCATATTCTCCAGGAGTCATGTTTGAGTTTCAAATTGAAGATGATTATTTTTTTTTGCATAGATATCGTCGTACCTATGATTCTGAGTTCACTGCACCTCTAGTGTTTTACCATGTATGGCCAACCCTGATGGAAAATGATGTTCCTATAGTCAAGGGAGAGGCAGTGACCAAAAGAGGAGCCCTGGTATGAAAACTACGATGGTTTATTGGATTGATAATTGTATTTCTTTATGTTAACATCAGGGGTGGACTGACAACTCATGGGGCCCCCGGGCAATAGGGGATCATGGGGCCCCTGCTGTGTCCTTGCCCAAACTCAAAAAAGCCTATGAAAAGGTACCAGGGGGCATCTCATGGGGCCCCCTACTGACCCCGGGCCCTTGGGCAGGGCCCGAGTTTCCAAATGGTCAGTCCGCCCCTGGTTAACATCACTGGTGTATAGTCTTTATATAGTCATTATATTAAAAAATCAAAACAATGCATTACCTGCAGAAGAAAGAGTAAACATTTATGGCTCCCACCACCTGCCTCATTTGCTGCTACAATTGGGCAGGAAGTGATGCCATAGGCCCCTGGTGCCCAACCTTAAGACCTGAGGGCCGCATGTGGCCCTGTGGCATACGATGTGTGGCCCTGGGTCCTCAGCAGTCTCTAGTGGGAACATTGATTATTGTAATAACATTGATACTACTAGCCTCATGTACAGGGGCGGACTGAGAACTCATGGGGCCCCCGGGCAATAGGGGATCATGGGGCCCCTGTGTCCTTGCCCAAACTCAAAAAAGCCTATGAAAAAGGTACCAGGGGCATCTCATGGGGCCCCCTACTGACCTCGGGCCCTCGATCAGTGCCCGAGTTTCCAAATGGTCAGTCCGCCCCTACTCATGTAACATGTTCCCAGTTTTTGTATTGTCTTCTGCAGCATATCCCCAGCCAAAAATATAGCATTTCCACACTCTGACTCTCATTTCCTCTATTGGGTCTGCAGTGTCTGCCCATTTTCCCCAAGCATTACATTCATATATTGATAATATATATATACAGTTTATACATTACATATCTTGAACAATATGTGTGGCCTTTTGGTGTTGTCAGGGGCCACATTTGATGGCCCCTTTAGCTCATGAATTGACAACCACTGCCCTAGCCATACACTAACTTTTAATAAACCTGCCCCCCTAAACTAGAAAGCCCAGTGGAAGGAAGATTGTTATCAGCTTTAAACAGTATGTAGATTTTATGTTGACTGGCTACAGAGAGCCTTGTAACATTGTTCATGTGTACATATTCCTTGAATTCAGGACAATAGTACCCATCTGACCAGTGACTATAGAAGAAATGACTTGATGCACTTCTGCTTCTTCACACGCCTTGCCAACCCAGTTTCTCTCTGTGATATCTCTTCATCTCAATGTTAGATTGATAGCACTATACAAAGAAATAAAGCCCAAATGGCTCACAATGTTTCCCCTTCCTCTCCCAGTCTTATCCTCACATAATTGTAGGAATCAAATATAAGAAATGAATGTATTTATATTATATTTAAATATCAAAGATTTTGTTTAATACATAACTGGTGTAAAGAGTGTTTTGTAATATCTGCCTGCTGTTCAAGTAACTATCTCACATTCAAAGCCACTACACAGATACATTGGGGTTTATTTACTAAAGCTGGAGAGTGCAAAATCAGGTGCATTTCTGCATAGAAACCAATCAGCTTCCAGGTTTTATTGTCAAAGCTCAACTGAACAAATTGAAGTTAGAAGCTGATTGGCTACCATGCACAGCTGCACCAGATTCTGAGGGCATCAGTTTTCGTAAATCGTCCCCATTTTGTCATAGGTCAGATGTTTGTGTCATCATATTTGAATGTAATTGCCTTTCAGTGGAGCCCACGTAAGAGCAGAAGCAGAAGCTCCAGTCCCCTGCGCTCCCGGTCAGTCAGTCCAGGTCGAAACTTGGTAAATTCCTCAATTTAGAACAGAAATAATTGTGGCTGATAGAATTATCTAATTTAACTACTTTCAAAAATGTTAACAATGTCTATTATTATTCATCTTCAGGCATCCAGGAGCCGTAGCCCCTCCCCCCGAAGAAGTGGGACCCCAAGTAAGTCGACCAGCAATTAGTGTCATTGGCCAGGTCAGGTCCAGAAATACTGCACCAGATGCAGGAAACCTCCAGCGTAAACTCTGTTCTGCTGAGAGCTTGTTTGACAATTGAGGGGTCAAAAAATATAACAGATTTTCCAGTTTACAACATTTTGGTTTTCTAATTTTTACCTCTTTTTAATGTTTTTTAAACTATTCAACTAACTTTTTTATGCTATACTGTCTGTTAGGTGTATTCACCTAATGAATTGCTTGGTTGTGGTTAGGGGTGGGACGTACCCTTAACACTTTTTTATTTTTTGTTATCCTAACATATTTTGTTATATGATAGTCTAAAATTTAGCCTGTGTTGATTTTATGAATATATTACCAATGTTTCTGTTAAAGTGGAACTACGGCTCAAATATGTACCTTAGTTCCAACATCCTTGAGGTCCCTCATCAGTATTTTATTTCCATGTTCTTTCAGATGCTGGCTTTCGGCTGTTCTGATTGACCGGCATGGGATGACATCACTCCCATGCACTGCAGCCATTCCGGTACATTGGCAGTGTGATGGAATGTAGATTGAATTGTGCATGCACAGCTCAGTGTACATTCCGCAGAGGATTACAAATAGGCAGGTAAGTGCACTTTATTACAGAAGAGATTTTTCATGACTCTTCTGCAATAATAAGCCTGCCTGTTCGCAATTTTGTAATTTTTTACATTTAGTTCCTCTTTAATTTCTTACAGGTAATCTGTCATGGACTGCTGTTACTGATTGCCTTCTTAAAATACTAGCTGCCTGCTTCTCATTCAAATTCATTGATGCTGACCCCCAAAAAGTATGCGAATCAGGACAGACTCTGACATCACTGGCTGTGTTCTTGTTTTGGATCATGATTCACAAAGCATTGAAGCCAGAGACAGCCAGGCAACTATTTTTTTTTTCAAGGAGGTCAGCAATGGAAGTTCAAAATTTTCCCTGTAATAATGTAGGTTCCCTTTAAATCTGTGAGTGGAAAAAACTACAGCAGGTATAAATTGTAGTCAACATTAGTTGAATTGTCTGCACTTCATACCTGAAGCAATTTCTACCCTTGCCCTGGGGACAAAGTCTCTTTAATTTAGATTTCATGCTGAAGTATTATTCATGCAGGCATAATATATATATATATATATATATATATATATATATATATATATATATATATATATATATATACAGCCAGGTCCATAAATATTGGGACATCGACACAATTCTAACATTTTTGGCTCTATACACCACCACAATGGATTTGAAATAAAACGAACAAGATGTGCTTTAACTGCAGACTGTCAGCTTTAATTTGAGGGTATTTACATCCAAATCAGGTGAACGGTGTAGGAATTACAACAGTTTGCATATGTGCCTCCCACTTGTTAAGGGACCAAAAGTAATGGGACAATTAGCTTCTCAGCTGTTCCATGGCCAGGTGTGTGTTTTTCCCTCATAATCCCAATTACAATGAGCAGATAAAAGGTCCAGAGTTAATTTCAAGTGTGCTATTTGCATTTGGAATCTGTTGCTGTCAACTCTCAAGATGAGATCCAAAGAGCTGTCACTATCAGTGAAGCAAGCCATCATTAGGCTGAAAATACAAAACAAACCCATCAGAGAGATAGCAAAAACATTAGGCGTGGCCAAAACAACTGTTTGGAACATTCTTAAAAAGAAGGAACGCACCGGTGAGCTCAGCAACACCAAAAGACCCGGAAGACCACGGAAAACAACTGTGGTGGATGACTGAAGAATTCTTTCCCTGGTGAAGAAAACACCCTTCACAACAGTTGGCCAGATCACGAACACTCTCCAGGAGGTAGGTGTATGTGTGTCAAAGTCAACAATCAAGAGAAGACTTCAGCAGAGTGAATACAGAGGGTTCACCACAAGATGTAAACCATTGGTGAGCCTCAAAAACAGGAAGGCCAGATTAGAGTTTGCCAAACGACATCTAAAAAAGCCTTCACAGTTGTGGAACAACATCCTATGGACAGATAAGACCAAGATCAACTTGTACCAGAGTGATGGGAAGAGAAGAGTATGGAGAAGGAAAGGAACTGCTCATGATCCTAAGCATACCACCTCATCAGTGAAGCATGGTGGTGGTAGTGTCATGGCGGTGGGCATGTATGGCTGCCAATGGAACTGGTTCTCTTGTATTTATTGATGATGTGACTGCTGACAAAAGCAGCAGTGTTTCAGTCTGAAGTGTTTCGGGCAATATTATCTGCTCATATTCAGCCAAATGCTTCAGAACTCATTGGACGCCGCTTCACAGTGCAGATGGACAATGACCCAAAGCATACTGCAAAAGCAACCAAAGAGTTTTTTAAGGGAAAGAAGTGGAATGTTATGCAATGGCCAAGTCAATCACCTGACCTGAATCCGATTGAGCATGCATTTCACTTGCTGAAGACAAAACCGAAGGGAAAATGCCCCAAGAACAAGCAGGAACTGAAGACAGTTGCAGTAGAGGCCTGGCAGAGCATCACCAGGGATGAAACCCAGCATCTGGTGATGTCTATGCGTTCCAGACTTCAGGCTGTAATTGACTGCAAAGGATTTGTAACCAAGTATTAAAAAGTGAAAGTTTTGATTTATGATTATTATTCTGTCCCATTACTTTTGGCCCCTTAACAAGTGGGAGGCACATATGCAAACTGTTGTAATTCCTACACCGTTCACCTGATTTGGATGTAAATACCCTCAAATTAAAGCTGACAGTCTGCAGTTAAAGCACATCTTGTTTGTTTCATTTCAAATCCATTGTGGTGGTGTATAGAGCCAAAAATGTTAGAATTGTGTCGATGTCCCAATATTTATGGACCTGACTGTATATATATATATATATATATATATATATATATAAAAAGTCCAATAATATTTTCAGAATATTTAGCATTTTTAAAATTAGCTTCATGGGACCAATAATACAGTGAATTAAAGGAATGTAATGAACGCTATTACATGGCTACCACACTGTGTGACTTGCTGCATTATTACTGTCATACAATGCATCCAAGGCAGACATTGAGTTTGGTTTTTGCCTATTAATGCTATTGATCTTGTGATTCTCGAACCATGACGGTACACTAAACCTGACCGCTATATATTTTCCTCCATTAGGATTCTAACTGAAAGCTTATTCATCAGGAATCAGACAACACCAGTGGTGCTTCATGTTTTATCCAGAGACCTCAGACCTTCATTGTCATAATGTGAATGGATAATTATTGACATTTGTATGTAGTGTGTTTTACAGTTTGTGTATTTTTTTCACTATAAACTAATGCTCATTGTTTTGATTTTTTTTAATATGAAAATGAATAAAGTCAGTTCATATGTCCTAAGCTGTGTGCAGTAACTGCTGGGAGAAGTTGCACTAATTGTTCTCCTATACAAGGAGAATGCAAGGCTTCAATTTACCTGACTGTAAACTGACAATACAAATAAAAAATGTTTTCACTTTAAACTAATCCTCACTTTTTAAACATTTTTTATATAAAAATGAATAAAGTCAGTTCATATGTCCTAAGCTATGTGCAGTAACTGCTGGGAGAGGTTGCACTTGTTCTCCTATACAAGGAGAATGCAAGGCTTCAATATTACCTGACATGTAGACTGACAATACAAAACATTGCTTTATTTTATATAGCTGTATAATGTAATATATATGTTTAATTTCATGTTAGGGTACCAAATGTTCATTTGCAATTGCATTGGAAATCTCTGGCACATGGATTTAAAGTACTGTATATGTAAACTCTAACTTAGTAAAACAACCCCTTCAGTTTAAAATAGAAATAAAAGGCAAAACATTTGTGTATAGATATACAAAATATTATAAATATCCCCCCCCTTTTTTTTTTTATTAATAAATGATCACATACCATCTGTTCTCAGCTGCATAAGGAGCTCAGAGAGCTGGAGGAGGAGAGACAGCAGCACACTGATCTTCCCAGTGAGTGACTGAGCAAAGGGGGCATGTCAACACAAGTCTGTTCATTGGAGGAGAGTAGGCTGAATTTCCATCACAACCAGAAAACTGACCACACTGTGCTCTCATGCCCATAAATAGAAAAGCAAAGGGACTGGCAGGATCATCAGGGATTTCACACAAGGGAAGCAATACAAAGAGAACAGGATACGTTTTCATACAAATACATGGTACAGTAGGTACCAGGGGTGGACTGACCATTTGGAAACTCGGGCACTGCCCGAGGGCCTGGGGTCAGTAGGGGGCCCCATGAGATGCCCCTGGTACCTTTTTTCATAGGCTTTTTTGAGTTTGGGCAAGGACACGGGCCCCATGATCCCCTATTGCCCAGGGGCCCCATGAGTTGTCAGTCCGCCTCTGGTAGGCACATAACAAGAATGTGAAATGTTGGGTTTACGTGTTCTTTATTTTTTTCAGTAAGATGGGGAAAATACATTTCACAATGGGTGACCTCTCAAAAATAGCAAAAGTTTGTGCCTGTAAGTGTTTTGGGTTGTAAATGATATATCCTGCAGAGATGACCTGCAGTGGCAGGAGCTCACACTGGTCCCCAGCTTTCCATCTCATGAACAATCTGGTATCTTGGCTTTATATAATGCTTAGAATATACTTCTTGGTCTCAATTTTTGTGTTCCAGCCACTCTACCTTTGTCAATATACTGGGTTCTCGCCAGTATTTTGCACTGTTGTGTGTTGGCATTCATTGGTGAGCATTATGTTAAGGATTTCATTACAAAGCCAAAATCATCCACCCAACAATAAATATTTTTTTGTTAAAAATACTGTCCCCTTTACCCATTCAAACTATTTAGAATAAGGAGACTAGGGAGTGATCATCAAAAGCTGTCATTCTACAAATATGCCACTAGATGCCACTAGTGTAATAAAGATGAATGGCACTAAATAGAGCAAGAAAGAAAATAATGCCATTTAACAAACCAAGAGTTATTTGTAGCAAAGTAAATGTAACAATAGTCAGATAAATAGTGATCAAATA